CATGATTTGTGACATTACAGTGGTCAAAAAACAAAAAGAAGAAGACATCTCTGATAGAAAGAGAGGCTTGTTTTGATAAGGGATTGTTGTTGGATGATGTTTGAAAATATAAAGCATGATAAAAAAACGAATCAGTACCGGTGTAACAGCAGCTATCTGCTGTTTTCAGCTGTTGATGGCTCCATGTTAATTTGCATTTTAATTAACAGACACACTGCAACAATTGTCTTCCATATAATCTCTCTGCTGGGACTGAGCTGTTGGAAATCAGCAGTGGAAGAAGTCAGTTACATTTGACATGTTTTATTCATGTGTGCAGGGATCGAAGGAGTCTTGTTGCATCACAGTGGTGGAAAATAGATTGTCAAAATGAATGTTTGATTTACATTTCATTTGCTTTATATATTTTTTCTCCTGATGCTCAGCTTCCATAGCTAGCCTTTTAAATGCAGAAACCACTGACTGAGTAAATGAGGCCAAAGAAACCAGACCCAACTTCACCAGAGGTCAATGACCAGTGAGTGACCCTAGAGAGTGGGCTTCTACCTCAATATTGGACCAACTGTCTGAGAAGCAGAAGTTGTATTTAATGACAGAGATTTTGTTTTAAAGAGATTCGGCCATTTTCAGTGTCAGACAAGTTAAAGAACCAAATGAAGCGTCCATGAACACAGGGGACCACACGTTCACCACTGCAGGGGTTTTGACAAAGAATGTTGAGGTTCAACATTTGGTGTGACCTTCTCAGGATTGTCATTTCCTCTGCTGTAACCTCAATCTTTTCACTCCTTCACCTCAGGCAAAGCACAAAATGGAGCAGGGTGGGCCAAAGTTAAAATGTCAGTTTGAAGTATTTTGTTTGAAATGAGAGGCAAAGTTGTGCAACCTAATACTGCTGATGTGTCCTGGCTTGACACTTTCCCACTAAACTACACGATTTGGTCTGTTTATCACGAGCGAACCACACTTTTAAACCCCCTCCTGGTCTCTACTTTCAATAATCAGGGATATGGACCACCGAACGCTGCTCGGTTCCATTCCAGACTTGTCACACACACTGTTCTTTTTCAGCATCACCTCCATCACCTCCACTGCCAAATTACTCATGCGAGATGCCAGTCCAAATTAGCTCCCTGTGAACAGCTATTTGTAGGGCATATAAACAGTGTTGTGCCAGTTGGGCGTTTGCCTCGTGTCAAGCCCAAGTTCAAGGAGGGATTTGGAACTGTAGAACAGCGACCCCTGGTGTTAACCTGGCATGATGCAGCACTAAAAGGTGACTACTTCGGTGTTTATTTATCGAAGGGCAAGGTGAGAACTTCATTAGAAATAGGCCTATAAAGAAAGCAAGGTGAGAACTTCATTAGAAATAGGGCTATAAAGAAAAATAGATATGACCAATGACTAGACAAATGTTTTTATTTGATCTAATCCAATTCTGACTTCAGATCCAGCATCCAACCAACCAACCAACCAACCAACCAACTAATAAGCCAATCAACTACTCAATCAACCAGCCAGTCACTATGTCAAAAAAAATTCAGTCCTCCGAGGATCATGAAACAGTTCTCCGCTTCAGTTGTCTTTGAGAACAGTAGTAGAAATATTAACACATGCTAAACATAACTGTTGTAAGAACTGTTCTGTAATTGATTGTTCTTTTCTGTAATGTTGATATTTCTCTATATGTATTTTATTTATTACACTGCCCTATTTATTTGTAATTCTATTTTTATTCTTAATGTACAGCATATAATGGTACGTCCAAAGATGTGAAGTCTAATGAACCTGATTCTTTGTATGATTACAGTCAGGATTCTCCTTCTGAAAGTGGTCGAACACAGACCTTTGTTTATCACATCTGGATCACGTCTTTCTTGCTCATTCATTGCACATCCTCTACTGCATGTATAATAAAAAAATACTGAAATATTCAGCTAGTGACCACAGTCACTAGGAAATGAATAACTCCCGGTACTGTGTCTGTGAGTACTTTTGAGTATAGCGCCCTCTGATGTGTGTAAATTACAGTTGGAGAGGCCCAGGTATTGTTGATGTTGGCAATTTGCGTGACACTCTCCCAGTGCTTATGAGAGAACAGCAGAGACCACTCCATGCATACCACCACACACACACACACACACACACACACACCTCCACAGTCATTATTGTTCTTTTTCGTTCATTTCTCTCCTTCTACTCTTCTCTCCCTGCGAGATAGTCATTAATCAGAAAACACACACACACACACACACACACACACACACAGAACAAAATGTGCCCTTGTGCAAACCTCACCTTGTCCTCCTCCTCATTTTCCTTTCTTTTCTCCGTTCCCTCCTCCCATCATTTATGTATTTTTTTTTTCCTCAGGATACCCAGTGTGACTCCTTTCCTCTGACCTTCTTATTTAAACCTGCCCACATGCCAAGATCTCACCCAGGCGCTGACATCAGGACCAGTTAATGTGCAGGAGCAGCATCTGTCTCTCTAACGATGCGGCGCTCGCTGCTTACGCCTGCTTCCCTGTCTGGTTGCCTCAGCGCGGACCTGAGGTAAATCTGCTGATGACACCGCCACTCAGTGGCTCGTTCTCACTCTGACGTGACATGTGTTGGTGTTTATCGCCTCTTTGCTGTGTGTGGGTTTGTGTTTGTCCTTAGTCAGCATTTTCTCACGCCCCAAAATGAAGGACACCTGTGCATGTCAACAGTATAAAAGTCCTGTGCAGGTCCGTTCAAACACCATCCTGGTGAACCTGACTTTTAACACCGCCGGAATGCATTTAATCAGCATTCACTTTTTTTTCCAATAAATCAGCATTTTACCTTTTTTTTGCCTTTGGCCCCAAATGCCTTCAGTAGAACCAGAAACAGCTGAACACAAGTATTTCTTTTCTTGAGTTTCAGCACTGACGACTCTATTCCAATGCTGTTTTTATTCACAATAAGTTGTGGATAAACCTGTTATAATTAGGACACAGTGCTCCGTACTTTAAAAATAGCTACAGAACTGAGTGCAGTCCTTGAATATAAAGTACCCGGGGTCATCATGAATCATGGGTATTTACAGTACGGTTTCCTCAATAAAACGTATTTATGTCTGTTTCAGATACTGCGAGTATCTGCTGATACCGGTATCAATCTGGTACCTTCTTTTCTCCCCCAGGATGCTGTGGGCTGCCTCTACTGAGGTGACAGTGTTTACCACAAAGTAAAGCTGAGCATTTGGCGTCAGATATAGGATCAGACAGCCTATTGTTATTGTTTATGTTCAATCCTGAAATGTTGACCAATATAGGATCGGAAACGATCGTATGTATCAAATCTAAGCAATAAAAAACAACTAGAATAAACCTAGTACCTTTGACATTTCCATGCAGCTGTTTCGTACAGAGGTTAGTAATCTGTGTGAGACAAAAGCGTGTCCGCCTCGCTGTTACAATTCTTTCTGTTTTTGCTGCACACAGAACATTGATTCGGTTCAGTGACTTCTGCAGATGTAGAGGTGAAATGACAGTGGAACCTGTTCCTGATTCAGAAACCAGTAAAGGTGCAGCACTTCGGCCCTTGGTCCAGTGTGAGAGACCTGCGTATGTGGTTCTGGTGCGACTTTTATTTCCAGTAGATACAGAAGTGTTGTTGAAAACGATCTCGCTCTACCTGTGAGCACATTCAACATCGATCTACATTAACAAGGTGGAGAAGTGAGTTGACAGCTCCACAGAGCAGAACGCAGACGCCGATGAGAAAAACGCCCGGGGACTGACTGAGTGGATCCATAACAGAGCTGGCAGCCAAACAAAGGTAAAACTTTTCAAAGCGGTAGTACCTCAGTGAAGACTCTCTTCTGGTTCCATCACTACCTTAACTTAAACACCAAGTAAAAAGCTTTTGTCAATAAAAAGAAGAGAGACGAACTGAAACTATAGCATGTCGTGAAGATAGAATTCTGGAAATATTTTATCTTTTGTTTTTGGCAATTTCTATTTCCAAAATAATGTTCATTGTTGCAGCTGGCAAACAGCTGCAACAATGCAAAACGTAAGAAATTAAAATGTAAGAAATTGACTGGCACTGTTGAAGTTGTTACTGTACATTTATATATATTGTATGGACATAAATTTAAAAAAAAAATCCATGTTTTTTCCAAAGAAAAAGCTCCTTTAATGGAGACATTATCCAAGATGCAAAGCCAAGGAGCACCAACTCCAGACTAACTGACAAGTTTGGAACCTTTTCTATATTTTTTCTCAATAAACTTCTAAAAAACTTCTTATCCTCAGACATTGCCAGACAGTTCTCACAAACACATAGGCTGAAAACTGGTAAATCTATGGCTTCAGGCCTGATTCCTGACACCAACAGCAGCAGGATTTGTGTGTATTTTACTCACAGTTTGAAAAGTATCTCATAAATTATCCTCTACACTTGCATTTATAAATATATCTATATAAATACATACATACATACATACAGTATATATGCACATATTTTGTATATGTATACACACATATATATTTTTTTCAATCTTTATGTACATATGTATGTATATATATATTATTGTATTATTATTGGTGTAATCAGTGATATATGTGACAACAACCACCGTGTTTTCTTGTTTCCAAATGTTGTGCCCTGAATTCTATGAGTCTTTGTCTTTGTCTCTCTTGTTACGTCTCTGACAGGACTCACTGAGTTCATTAGCAGCTTGGATCGGCCTGGGTCAGCAGCAACTGTCACTTCAAATCATGGCTAATACAAATGCATTGTAATACACTGACAGATGCAACCAAGAAAGACTGACAAAGAGTACAGAAGCAGTACTGGGAAGTACTGGGCTTGGACAATTCAGCTCAGTGTGGATGTACTGAGGGTGAACGTACGTGTACTCAAGACGTAGGAATCTGCATGTGACCATGAGCAGTGTAGGTGTCGTCTGTTTTTAATAGTCATAATATTGAACCAGAAACCATTAATCAGTGACACAGCAGGTCTTACCTTTGTCCAGGGAGGCGTCTGGAGAGTTGAAGTCCATCAGGCTGCTGATTTCAGTCTTGCAGCTGAGCTCAGCTGCCGGAGGCTTCTGTCTGGGATGGGTGGAGGAGTCTGTCAGGGGGCAAAAAAAAAAACACAAAATGAAAGAACTTTATTACAATATATGTGTTGTTGCAAATTAAATTTGAGTTCACAAACGTTTCATAATAACATCTGAGGGTAGTGTGTAATTGGTAAAATTGAGAGTTAGCATCTGTAGCATCAATCAAATGTTACCAAGCTCTTGGTCATGCTTTATCTCTTTTTTTTTCTTGTAAATCGCACCTGAGTTATACAAAAAGCTGAGATCAGATCATAATTAAAAATAACAATAACATTCAAAATAAACTCATTAGATAAAAGTCTAAACTTTCATTCATAATCCCAGCAGTCATCGGGCCAAATCTGTCTGAAAAGTTAATCAGTGTATAAGAAGGATCTATGACCAATATACGCCGTACATTTCCACAGAAATACAAACAAACAGTTGTCAACTGACTTCCTGTTGTTCCGTCTTATTCCAGTTGTATTCTCCACAGCCTCAGTAATGGCCACAAATGGCCGTGTACTTGTATTTCCTCTAAACGCTCTAAGGACGTGTAAAAGAGAAAGTCTGTTTTCCACTTTAGTGCACTAAAATACAAAATTCTCTAGATTAATTAATGCACCAGGCAGGACACATGAGGGCAACAGAGAAACCCAATGATTAATGCAGCACTGCCTCCATCATCAGCTCCACACCGTCCTTCTCTGCACATAATGAACCAACTAACTCCTCGCTGCTTAAATCCCACTCATTCTACAGCAGCCCACCATCCATCAACTCTGCCACTGTCTGAAACACAGAGCCAAAGAAGAAGACAAGGTGAAACCAAACACACTCAGCTACACTTTTTTTACCTCATTTATTTATGTGTGCTCTACTGGTATAACGGTACATCTGTTTGGAAGCTACACTAATGTGAGGACTCATGGAATTAGAATTAGAGTCAGATTAGAGGGTGAGGTTGAAGGGAATGCATTATGTTGATATATTTCATATTCTTATATTTTGTTCTGAACGTCTACAGCGTTTGCAGAACACCTGATTGGACATTTTTTAAAGAGCAATGTTTCCATGAAGGGAAATGTATCAAGTCTCCACTGTGCGAGACGGTAATTTGAGCGTGAAGATTTAGTTCAAAGTTAGGATTAGACTGAGAGTGAGATTAGAGTTGGGGTAAGGATTAGGATTAAGTATATATTTTTAATATTTAAGGTCAGGGTTAAGGCCTGGGGAATGCATTTTGTTATGTGAAGTGCTGACAAAAACCTACTGTGTGTGTCTATGTTTGTGGGTGTGTGAAGTGCAGTTTGATTTGGACATGGTTCGGTGGATATTAATATCGTTTTTTTTTTTTTTTTTTTTGGTTCCTGCTTGTGGCATGCAATGAATTCATTTCAAATGCATTGCTTCAGGGCAGTTTGAAAAAAAGTGTTTGTTAAAAAAAAAACCCATCCTTTTCACCATCCTTCTCTTCCTCTGTTGCAGAGAAATGCATTAGGAGTTTATTTTTCCCTTGGAGGTTACCAGTGTCACTTGTAAAAATATATAGTATAAAGCAATTCCATCAGTAAAATAATTATAATAAAATTTAAAATCCTGCTCGGCACACATTGAATTAGTGACAAAGCTGCAAAATATGTGCTGGAAAAGTCAACCTGCCATGACTGCCTGCAGTTAATATGGTGACAGAGATGCTAAAAGATGTTCCTTCGTTTTCATTTCTTTTGACTAACATCACCTTTCCCATATTGTTCACAGTGCAGATCTAGGCTCTACTAGCTGCGACTATATTTAAATAAATTCAAGGTGAGTGCAAACCTGCAGCATCTGCTGCTTTTAGGACGCTGAACATTTAATGTTGTGCACAGTTTGGCATTAACATTACGGTATGAAGAGTTCAGCAAAGAAAATCATATTTTTGGGGGGTTTGATGATAAAGAAAGTGAAAAGGTTTGCTGCAGTGCAACTCAATAATCAATACTGGGGTAAGAGGTTCATTTGTACACTGCTTAAATGCTCAGTTCAAAAGTGTGGTATCGAAAACACACAAAACACAAACTCTCAGTCTGAAGAGAAAACATCCGCACCACATTTCTTCACTTGTTTTGCTATATCAACACCAAGACATTTCAGTGAAACCTTGTAATGTATTTTCAGACACACTTCGAAATCAATGCAATTTAAAAAAAACAAACAAACCTGTAAAGACTCCCATTATTTCTCAATCATTCCTACAATCTTACAGTGTCTTTCTCAAAGAAAAAACAAAACAAATGCCGCGGGAGAGAAAACAGACAGGCAGGCAGTGAGGGAGGGGATTAGACAGACTGATAATCAGGAAATCTCACATTTACAGATGAAATGTTAATCTCGACTGTCTGCTCCTGTGACACTGAACCTTGTTCCATGGTGAAGTGTTAAAACCCGTGTGTGCATTGATAGATGAGGAGTAAGAAAAGATAAATCACTTTGTCTTTCTGCTCCCATCTGCCCAGTTCTAGTCTTTTGCAAAAAAAAAAAAAAGTACAAAACACATGGTTAGACCTGTTTGTTTTGACCAAAGTGTGTTATATTTACTAGGTATGTTGATTTATCTCAATTAATCATGATTAATAACTGTTATTCAACAATATTTTCAATGAAAAAAGGCACATTATAAGATTTTATATTATTTTGTTTTAAAGAAATGTACTATCCCTGTTGAAAGGAAGCCCTTGAAACCAATCAAACAATAGTCACAGCATTTGGTCTTGTTAGCATTCTCTACGCCTACTTCCTGTGTATTTTGCTAGCATTTAGAGAATAGCTCACAGTAGTCATTTCAGAAGTATACTGCCAAATCCAGAGATTTGAAGTTTAAACCAGCAAACCTCTGCCAACAGCCAGAACCGAGGGTCGGACCTGTCACACTCACACCTTCCCGCTCTCCTATTCTCGTCACCTCTCTCCTCTATCTTCCCAGCTGACTGACTGCTCTGCTTTAATATTAACTTTTTCTTTTCCCTCCTCGTTCTAAATCCGTCCTCTGTCACAATTTACCAGGTTCCCCCTCTCCTCCGAGTCTGTCACATTTTATCTGCCGCTGCAGCGCAGGAAAAAGTGTCAGAGGGAACAAAGGAAGACTCTAATGAGCAGTGAAGGTGATTAATGGTTGAATAGACGTTGTTGCCGGGAGCTTCACGGAGCCGAACATGCTCTCCGTCTCCGTCTGCAGTCGGCAGATAGGCACCACCTTCTCTTTTCTGAGGCAGCTGCCACTCAGCGTTAATTGCGCCGCCATTCTGTGGGTCCAGGGCTGGCAAACT